TGCACTCTGGAGAATTTAGGGTCTCGTTGGGCTCTCCATCCTCAGAGAAGGGCGTTGGTGTACCTTGGGGCTTCCTATCCCTTTGGGGGTTCCTTTGGGGACTGAGGAGACTGCTGAACACTTTGCACTTGGAAACACATCTGACCCCACAGGGTCATGGGCCCTAAAGCTCCCTGGGAACTCCCAGCTAAGAATCCTTGGGCCCGTAGTCTTCTCATGAGCCTTCTAGTTTCCACATCCTAACATTCTAGGGTGAAGGGCCATTGAGCAGGAACTGACCCTCCAACTGTTCAGAAAAACACCCCCCCTTCTTGCACATACGCGCACACACCCACACATACGTATCCAGTAAATACAGAGGAGCGCTAAAGCAAGTGCAGAAGTCGTGAAAGAACAAAAGGTGTGTCCGGGTGTTCTGTGCACTGTTTTAATTGTTGCGACTTTTCTGAGTTGGACGCGTTTTCCAATGGAACGTTGAAACGCCTGTCGCTTGGTGTCCAGCAGCGTTCAGTAAGCCGTGTCTGCTGTTAGCCTGAAATTCCAGCCAGCGGGGAGAGGCGTTGAGCTGAGCAGCGGGCCAGAAGCCAGGCCCTCTGAGGAACTGCGCCTCAAGTGAGGGTCAGCTGCCAGGTGGAATGGGTGGGAACATGGGGCAGGTCGTAGAGAGCTGTCGGTGAACGTGTCAAACTTGAGCCACTTGCTGAAGAAGCAATTTGGAGCACAGTCAAGGGACCAGAGTGTCTCTCTCACCTCTCTCCTCATTCTTGTCTGCCTCTTGTCATGGTGCGAATTGTCGTGGTGAGCTCTGCTTCCCAGAATCACAGACTGCCCAAGCCAGGCAGGAGCTCACCAACCGTCCTGTCCAGTCTCTCCATGGAATAAATGAGAAAAGGGAGTTCCGTGAAATCGATTTGCACGCCCAGTGTCTCAGAGTGTGCCTGGGACACCCCACGGTAGCCCTCCGTGCTCCGCTTAGAATGGCACGTGTGTCTTGGCCATTGTCTTTGAGGGCTCAGGGACTGTTTTAGATAAGCCTAAGAGCGGCAGTGTGCCATTCTAGAAGGTTCTCTTGGAAGGCAGGATATGCAGGTGTAACCGAACTGGGCAGGGGCTTTCCCTCTCTGTGCCTTGGTCTCTCCACCTTAAAATGAGGGAGTTAATTCCCACTAGAGTTATTTATTTTTTCTGAGGGATTCCTTTGAGAGTCTGATGAAATATTGGACACTTTGTACTTTGAAACATACACTCTCCTGATGCTCAGAAATGCTCTGCTTGGACTGATGGTATTTTTCTTTTCTTTTTTTAGGGTTTTTGCCATAGGGCGTGTGTACTCATCAGAAAGACAGAGAGAGACAGTGAGAAACCTCCCCTCCACGGGGAATGGCCACGCCACAATCCCTCCTCCATTCTCCCGCTGGGATTCTGGGCACAAGAGCCTGGTGTGAGTTTTAAGCTGCCAGGTCTGGACTCAAACCTAGTCAGCCGTGTGATAGTTCAGTCCTTAGCCACCAGGCCACCTGCTGGCTCCAGACTGATTGTATTCTAACAAGACTTCTAGTTATCATATTCTAAAGTCCCCAAAGTCACCAAGATAGAGTCAGTGGACTCCCAGGGCAGGGGGTATTTCTATCCCTTTATTTTCCCATTTATAGTCTTTTCACTCCATCGGAGAACCAACTCATCCTCCCACCACTTCCTGGGGTCACCTCTGTCTGCCTAGAGAGATGTTAAACCCAAGTTTTATCTCCCCTGGAAGCCGCATCTGTGATATAACATGAAAATAGCTTAAAGTGGGCCCAGCAGGTGGCATAGTGGTTAAGGTGCTGGACTCTCATGTGGCCGCCTATGGATTGAGCCCCAAACCCAGCAGCTTGATACTACACTGGGTATGTGTGCATGAGTGTCTGAAATCCCAAGAGGAGAATGGAGGAGAAGGGACTGCGGTGTGGCAGTCCCCCCGCTGCGGGAGGGAGGGTGATCTCTCACTTTCTGTCTCCCCATCTCTCTCTGTCTGTCTAGTGAGTGCATAGGCCTGATAGTAAAACAAAGCAAAACAAAACAAAAGAAACAAACAAAAAACCTCTCCAAAAAATAGAAGAAGATAGCTTGATGTGATGTAAAGGGCCACTTTCTCTTTGCCTTCAGCTGAAAATGTCCACCTTTGGCTACAGTCATGCTCGTGGGCCTCAGAGAAAATAAGCCCTCTGGGGCTCCTTTCAGCGAACGGAAATGAAGAAATTGCCATTTGGACCTCCTTTCAGCCAATGGGGATGGAGAAATTCACTCGTCACTCCCACCTCTTCCAATCAGCATGAAGGAAAGCTGCTCAGCAAGGCTGGACTGAAACAATTTAGACCCATCTCCTGGGACATTAACAGGGAGAAAAAAATGGAGCATTTAACTAAGCCCCACATGTGAGCAATCAATTCCAATTTTCCAGTTCTAATTTAATCGAGAACCTCAACTAAGCGCATTAAGGACACTGTAGAACCTTGCAATGTTAGGGATGGTTCACCCGGTTTGGATTTTTAACGTTTCTTTTAGCCTTGGCACACGTTTGTTGAGCGGCCTGATATGTGACACAGAAGAAAATGGAAGCCTGGGTGGAAGCCAGTCGTGGGGATGGCAGGGCTGTAATTGGGAATGGTTGCGTCAGGCGTGCAACACAGGAAAGGTCTGCAGTCGGACGTGGAAGCCAGGCGTGAGGCTGACATGGGCCCTGGTCTTCCAGCGACTGTCCAGGAACCTTCTCTGGTTCCGAGCATGGTGAGCCCGGGGTGGTGGTGCAAGGGGCAGTGACGGGCACTAACTGGAAAGGAGCAAGTGTCTAGAAATTTGCGCATTCTTGTTGACATCGTCATTTCAATGGCGCACCCTGGGGTGCAGAGCTCTGTCTTCTCAGCTGGTCTCGCCTGGCACAGTAGCCTCTAAGGATGCTTGGTGAAGCCCCAGGCAGAAAACCACAGATCCAGCCCAGCCCTGTAGGTGACAGAGAGGGAAAGGGGCTGCCAAGGTCTCACAAGGAAAGAAAACCTGGGCCCTCAGTAAAAAAAAGGAAGTGAGAGACTTTGACCATTAATTATTTTGCCTAACAATAGTTATATTTTTAAAAAATCAGTCTACAACAAAAGACTAACTTTGTTGTTATCCAAAGTGCCCTTTGCCATGGAGTCTTGAGACCCTCTAGCTACTCCCTGAAGCAGAGTCCATTCAGGGTGGAAGGACTTCCCTTGTGTGAGGGCCACTGTACTATGAAGAGAGCTTTTTTGGAGAAATGTCATCTCAGAGTATTGGGGATGCCCCACTGACTCTTGGCCTCTAAAGGAATGGGGACATGCCCATGTCAGCTGGGAGGACTCCTGGAGGACTCAAAGGATACGAGGGCTCCCGGCAGGGCCAGGGCTCCCTGGATGTTGGTGCAGGTACTCCCCCGGGCCATGGCTCTTGGCCACGCTGCTGCCTGGCACTGCAGCTGGGGGTGCCCATAGCTGGCACACTGCAGACCTTCACTAAGTGCAAGTAGAACAATGAACAGCTTCAGTGATAGCATGCTGCCCGCTCACACACAGACATCAGACCCACAGCCTGGCCACTTTGCTCCCACCCATCGGTGTCTCCGAGCACTTTCTCCAGTGGACTCGCAGCCCATGGCAAGCAATTGTGCACGGCCGTGTCACTCTTGGAAGTACTGTCGAGATGTCAGCAGGTGTGTTCTGGTGGGGAGCAAAAGATGAGATGCTAGGATTTGGCACAACCTTGCACAACCAGCAACATGGAGGAAGAAGACCCTCGTGCCTTGCCCAGACTGCTCAGTGGTTCCCCGTCCCAACCTGGCCTCCTCTCCTTGTGTCCACCCTTCATCTGTGCGCTAACCCCCCCCTTCATCAGTGCGCTAGTCCCCAGTCTGTCCACTGCACCCATGCTCTACAAAGCATCGGCCCACCGCCCTCTCATCTCAGCTTTGTCTCCCCAAATACTCCTCCCTACCCAAGCCCTCCTAGGACACTACGGAGCCGCCTGCTCAGAGTCCTCTGCTCTCTCCTCTCTGGCCCCAGGAAGCACCGCTTTATCTCCAAGGATCTGGTCCTGCAACTGCCTTCTCCATTGGAGGCAAAGGGCTGCTAACAGCTGAGTGGATAAGTGTATTTACCTATGCGCTGAGTGTATCTAACCTTTTGCATTAGGGACCTGGTCTAGGGAGCTGGGTGGCAGATGCTAAGGCTGCCTTTCTGCAGTGACGCTGCCTTGAGTCTGGGGGCTTAGTTGAGGATGGGAAGCCAGGTCCTTGCAGTGCTGGAGGAACTAGAAGGGGCAGCTATCTTAAGGTCAATGCAGAGCTCTGAGTCAGTGAGCTAGCCCCTGTCAGGCCGAGGACTGGAGAGCAGGAGAACACCCTTCCAAGCCAGATGGCTGAGCAGGCAGGTTGCGCTGCTGCCTGGTGCCCACCGGCAGGGGGACGGCCCCTCCCGTGGGACTGGCCACAAAGAGGCCCGTTGTGCCTGCTTGGCTAAGAGTGTCTAGGACTGGGGTGAAGGCAGCTATGTTAGCAACACCCCACCAGTGGTCGGGGGAGAGGATGTGCCGATCCCTGCGGAACCCACAGATGGCCTGGGTGGGGAGAGGGGACCTGAGGGTTTGCAGACGGGTCCCTCTGGTTTCTGGCAGTGGTGTGGTCCAGGAGAGAGGGTCTTAGGGAATAATGGAGATTTGTAGGCTCGATAGCCCACTGTCGAAGGGGGCCGGTCCTGCAGGATCAGGAGGGTAGCAGTTTAGACTCTGCCATGAAGGAAAAGAGAACGGGGGAGGCGACCGCTTCTTGCAGCACTGGGCACGCTCGGGAGATGCGCAGGGAGGTGGGCAAGGCGAGGGGCCTGGCGAGGGTCGGCCTCAGTCCTGGTGGCCGCGACTGAACATCTTTGGCTTTGGGCCCCTTCCTGCAGCTTTGGGCGTCCTCCCAGAGCTCCAGAAACAAGCCACCAGGTGGGCTACACCGGGGTGTTCTTGGGCTGGTTTGGGTTGAGGGAGAGGGGTTGAGGCCACCTTCTGCTCCCGAGGGATCTGAGCTAAGTGTGCGTGCCGGGCGAGGTTGGGCCCTCCAGGACGAGGCTGTCCACATCGCTCAGCAGCTCGTGCTCGCTGGCTGTGCGGGAGTGCTGGAGGTGGCGCAGGCGGGCCTGGAGGTGCTCCTGCTCCCGCTTGAGCTCCAGGTAGGAGTGGGAGAAGGTGTGGAAGATGGACGTGGCCGGGAAGGCCATGATGAGGATCCCGCTCAGGATGCTGCTCAGAGCCACCATCTGGCCCGGCACGCTGCTAGGGACCATGTCCCCGTAGCCCACCGTCGTCATGGAGATGATGGCCCACCAGTAGGAGGCCGGGATGCTGGTGAACTCCAGCACCCGCCCGGACTCATTCTCAGCCACGTAGACCAGCGGGGAGAAGAGGGTGACGGCCACGGCCAGGAAGAGGAGGAGCAGGCCGAACTCGCGCGTGCAGCGGCGCACGGTGAGGCCGAGCGTCTGCAGCCCCCGCGAGGGGCGGGGGCGGGGCGCACCCCCCGGGGGGG